TATAGCTTGTTTAAAAGCAAAATAAAAGGGCATGTGAATATGGGTGCCTTAGCTCTAGCAGTCCGTGATATTGCACAAGATACGTGATCACTGCAACTCGGGCTGCAGTTTGAGGGCCGGAGCGTGACTTGCAATTGGAGCTCATTTAACAGGTGTATTCTAGAAGATATCTTGAATACAGATATACTTTATATATACCAAATAAGTTAATGGAGGGGGGGGGGGGGCGTTATGTTGTCAGTGAAACCAATTAGCATTTTCCTTTTTTAACATGGGTATTGTATGGCATCAGCCTATTTGAGTAGAAGTCTTAATTTGGTTATCCATCTTAGATAGTTGTGCACTGCCTCGGGGAGTTCTTTTGGCCAGTAAAGTCTTGCATATACTCTGTGCCAGTCATTATGGGAGGGACTGTTGGGAATGGGCCGTAAAAGGGGCCCGCCCACTAACAATGTGTAAACAAGCTTTGTACTAGTGTTTAGTATAGTGTCTGAAACATAGGCGTAAAATACATGGTATGGGTTAGCACTACAAAGGTCATTTGTTCCAGCGGGACTGTTTCGGCACTGCCGTGGCCATTTACGGTAGCTAATTGTATATGTATGCTGTGTGGGTATTTGAGCTAAATTATCTTTCTACAATCACACCAAAACAGTTTTTGAATGCACCAACTTTCTGAGTTGTAACATTATCAGCTATGTATCTGTGCGCACTTGAAAACATTAAGGCTCATCTGGCATGCCAGAACTATTTATTCACGGCTTTCAGTCAATCTTTAAAAAATTTGCTAACTCTCTGATAACTCTGTTCAAGTGGGCAACACAATTGTTTGTAAATATAAACGAAACTGGTCTTTTTGGTTGTTTAAGTTAATTAAAGACCAAACCAGGTGGAATGCCCGATTCTACAAGCAAGAGTAGTTAATCGGATGCTCCTATACGAACGTACAGTTTTTTTTTTTACTACAGAACTGTTATTCTCTTTACTATGCCGTTGAGCATTGGCATGAACTATCATTATTTTAAACATTTGCTACCTTTATAGCGCATAGAACGCAATAATGTGGCCGGCATGCACTCTCTTCGTCTCCTTCTTCATCTCCTGGTTTGCCGCTCGGACATGTGCACTCGGCACGTGCCCTCTTATGTATAGATTTGTCCGGTGTAGGTTGCAATAATTCGAGTTAGCGAAAGAATAAGAGCAGAGGCAGCGAAAGAAAAAAATACAGAAAGAGAAAACTTTTTTGGCGAGGCAGAATTCGAACCGTGTACCCACAATTCGAAGGCAAGCATCATAATCACTCGGCTATCCAGGCATGCGGGCAGAGCAATACATAGCTCTGTGTTGTACAGTGTAGCAAAGTGGTGGGAAAGGGGAGTGAGGGTGAAAAGAAGAAAAAGGAGGAGGGTAGAGAGTAAAGCACAGGGTAGACTCCAAGAGAAAGAAATGAAGAGGGAGAAAGATACCGACAGAAAGAAAGAGGGGAAGCAATAAATGAGAGACAAAACAAAAGGAAAGAAAGAGAAAAGAACGAGAAAAATAAGTAAATAGATACGTATGCAAAGAAATGTAAGCGGAGACAAAAATGTACATAGAAAGACAAAGAGAGAAAAGAGAAAGATGAGAGCAAGAAACAAAGAAAGCGAGTCAACTCTACATTGCCTTCGTACAGTTAGTGGGAAGATGACTTATTTTTTTTTCGATAAGCAAGTCAGTTGAGCTGGATGCGTTGATGAAGTTTTGAAACTCATAAAAATCACTGTACTGACTTGTTCTGCAATGCAAGGCCTTGCCTGAATAAATGTGCTGGAGTAAGTATGAGTAAATAGGGTGTTTTGTTTTTGTGAATGGCTCTTCAGCATGGGGATATTTCTAAAGTGCATAAGATTTATGCATTAGTACACGTTTTCTAGTATGCAAGTTCCACTAAAACCATTCATTCTCATTTTCAGCCCTATCTGAAGGAGATCCTCAAGGAAATATGCAATTACAATGCCAAGAATCCTCACAAAAATATGTGGGAGCTCAAGCCAGAGTACCGTCATTACAAGGACCAGGAGTCCAAGGAGTGATTGCTTGGAAAATTGTTGTGAATCTGTCCACGAGGAATTATGCGATACAAAATAAATAAACATATTTTGATCTCGGGAAAGCTCCATCACATGGTTAATCCCATTAAGCAGTGCCCCCTTACCACTCATGTTCATCAAGCTCAGCAGAAAAAGCCTATGTGTCTTGTCAGCATGACTGTAGAAGTTTGTCATACATGAAAAGTAATTGAACTTATTTTAACATAGTGCACAACTACATGGACACAATAGAAGAAGGTAAAAACCACAGCGCTGACTTGCAACTGAATTTTTCAATGGAAAAACATTAACGAAAAAGGAATACGTCAACCTTCACGCCTATGTGACCACACGAACACAAGAAAAAGCAGATCAACTGACATTTTTAACAATGAAAAAACCTTCATACATATCAAGTGTCTTAACCTTTATGCTGTTGGAGAGTACACATGGTTTTGGGACGTTGCACCCTAATAATAATTATTACTATATTGATGTTGGTGCATGTTTCAGAACCTCAGGTGGTCAAACTTATCCAAAGCCCGTTGCTACAGCATTTATTATTGCTTAAGCTGCTTTGAACAGTAAATCTTATGTAAAGCAACCAACCGTTAAAGGTAAACCAATGAACTCCATTATCATTAGAGCAGTTGGTGTTGAAAGACTTGTTGCAAACTTAAAAGTGTCATCATCGATTGGTCCAGACTGCATTTTGTCAAAAATGTTGAAGTGTACCCAAGTCTATTCTTTTTTACTATTGTCGAACGTTTTTGAACAATCATTACAAACTTCCACGCTGCCATCTTACTGGAAGGCTAGGAAGGTGGTCCCTGTGCATAAATCTGGTGACGTACGCTCCCCCAATAACTACTGGCCCATATCGTTGACATCCATTCCAGTAAAAATCTTAGGGCGTGTCACATGCTCACTCTTCATTGAATTTCTTGAATCAAACTCCTTCGTTAGCATTTTTCCGCATGGCTTCCGAAAGACAGTTTCATGCGAAACTCCGTTGCTGTGTTTTACTAACGACTTGTTCATTAACGCAGATCTTGAGTTTAATACTGACTGTATATTCTTAAATTTCGTGAAAGCATTTGACTCTGTTTCACATGAACTACTCATTTTCGAACCTGCTCAGCTGAACATCAACACCAACGTATTTACATAGATTAAGAATTCCTCTCTAACTGCAGCCAGTACATTACAGCTGATCATTTTTCGTTAACCTAATTCCGCAGTAACATCTGGTGTACCGCAAGGGTCTGTTTTAGGCTCGTTGCTTTTCTTAATTTGCATCTAAGATCTTCCTTCTTCTGTTTCTTCCTCTACTGTCCGACCTTTTGCAGACGACTGTGTCCTCTACCAGAAAATAGCCAGTCATGTGGATCATCTTAACCTTCAACGTGACCTAGATAGCATATTTGTATGGTGTCACACATGGTTCATGACATTTAATATCATCATCATCATCAGCCTGACTACTGTCCACTGCAGGACAAAGGCCTCTCCCATGTTCCGCCGGCATTTAATATATCCAAATGTAAAAACACGCAAGTTTCAAGTCGTACTACCACCCACTGTCTGCGTGCTTATTCCCTCAATAACATTTCATTACCATCTGTGGACATTTATAAATATCTTGGTGTTCACATATCTTCTCATTTTTCCTGGAATAAACACACGAATATGTGATTAACAACGCTAACCGCATGCTTGGTTCCCCAGGTGGTCGAAATTTCCGGAGCCTTCCACTACGGCGTCTCTCATAATCATATAGTGGTTTTGGGACGTTAAACCCCACAAATCAATCAATCAATCAATCATCACATGCTTGGTTGTCTGCGCCTTAACTTTTCTTCTGCTCTATCGTCACTCAAGTTAACATTGTATAAAACATTGGTCAGATCCAAATCAGACCCAACTCATGCCATTATCATTCAATCTCTCGAAGTTATCTTATCGAGTTATTCACATAATTCCAGTGTCACATCCATGAAGAGCACCCTAAACTTGCCTGATCTTTCATTGTGCCGCAGATTGTTTTGCCTTAGCCTTTTTCACAATATCTGTCATTATAACAGCCATTTGAAGGATGCCCTCTGTCATCCACCTCGATTCATATCACCAAGGACCGACCATCGCTCTAAGGTGGGCTTACCCTCCGGTTGCATGAGACTGTATGACAATTCATTTGTGCCAAAAACAAGCACCGCCTGGAACCACCTTCCTGCCTCCATCGCCTGTATAACGGACGCAAAGTACTTCAAGCTCGTCGTACATGATGCCCTGTAAAATTTTCTTTTTTGCCTATATTATGTTTATTTCTTTTTTATATATTTTATTTAAACTGCACTTCTGATTGTTTACACCACTCCTTTCTGTAGTGCCTTCGGGCCTTCAAAGTACATTTAATAAATAAATAAACCAATTAAGTAAATCTTCTGATGCTTTAGATTGACAAGCACCGAAAGATGGATGCATACGCGAAAAAATTGAGGTCCCAACACATCAACCATGCCTTGATGAAGTTTTTTCTTAGTGTTTCATTATTAGCAATAAACCAATTGATTTAGAGCAGGACCAACTGCCAAACCAATTCGACTTGCTCTGTGGCTGGTGGATATAAAATATTTAGCTTGGGGAGCCCTTGGCAGTGCATGTTGTGTGTTCTATTCTTTGTCTTATTGATTTAAGCCCCCTATTGTTCCCTAAGATGCTATACAAATTTGCCCAACTTTGACTGAAGCCTTCTGCGAGATATTACCAAACTATACTGACCACCTGAATATTTTATGGTATGCAAAAAAAAAAAAAAGAGTGCCTTCCCTGCAAAACACTTACAGTGCTTCATTTATCCCATTTATGGAACAGAGATATGACTGGGCATCAATAATAAATCAAAATGTAAATTTCAGCCATGACCACACCTTCAGGTGTTGGTGAATGCTCATTTAATGGCTTTCAGCTCTATGAAAAGCTTTCTGCTCTCTTATTAAATAAGCTTCAGAGTACAGGAATATGGCTTGTTGAACACAGATACATCAAATGAGCAATGATAAAGTCAAAATGTTTTACTCAATCACAACCACATCTTCGGATGTTGATAAATGATCACTGAGCAACTCTTGGTTCTTTGAAGGCCCTTCTGTCTCGCTTCTTGGTCGTTTACTTTGAGCATCACCATTTTTGCCCTGCTTGGGACGCTTTATTGAAGCTGGCAGCGCGACTTCTGAAGGAGTCGACCTTGCTGTCAAGAAAGGGCAGGTAATTCTTCCTCCTTTGTCGATTTCCTTTTTCTTCTCTCCAGTGCGAATGTAACTTATGTAAGCATAGGGGGTGATGTGGAACTTTTCAGCCAGATAGCCTTCCAGCAGAGCCCATGCAACTATTGTTCTCACACCGCTCCCGTGGAAGGTCAGTCTTCGTAACACCTCGTTCTTTCCATTTCTTGGCATCCTTGCCCGTCCAGGCGTCAATCAACTTTGCTGCTGTCAACTGTTCGTTCGCATCACTTGCCGAGTCGAGAATTCTGTAGATGTTCTTAATGTGCACAGTGACATCAATATCTTTAACTGACCGTTTCAGTTGACAGTTGTCACAGATGGCATCATGGCACTGTATGTCTTGCTGCTTCTCTCCGAAGTGCCTCAAGAACATGGCACGTCGACACTCACGCACATCCACGCAGTACCGCACCATCGTGTAGACAGTTTTCTCGGCCACACTTCTCGGTGAAGACAGATGTGGTCTGCCGAAATATGTCGGCAAACCGGAAAAGTATCAAACATGTAGCTGGTTGATCATCCCTCCCCGCACGGCCACTTTCTTGGTAGTAGTTCTCAATAGATTTTGACATTGTGTGGTGAATGACAAAGCGCACATTTGACTTATCGATTCCCATGCCAAAAGCAATGGTTGCAACGATGACCAAGATTTTGCCATGCATCCAGCGAGTATGAACACTGCTGCGTCTATGCGGCTCCATACTGGCGTGGTAAGAGTCCACAGCAATACCATAGCCTTTCAACTCATGAGCCAATTCATCAGTTTCTTTTATGGAGAAACAGTAGACGATGCCACATTGATTTTTGAAGCGGCCGAGAATAAGCCTGGCAATCATCTTTACAGCTTCATCGTTCCCCGAGGGCTTTGCCAGTACCTCATAGACAAGATTAGGCCTGTCAAGCGGTGCACGGAGCACCACAGCACTCTCTATGTCCAGCATATTCTGAACATCAGCAACGATGGCTGCGGACTGCAGTGGCTGTGACTCCTAGAATTGGCACTTCAGGAAATTGGCGTTTCATTATGGCCAAGTACTTGTAGTCTGGCCTGAAGTCATGGCCCCACTGGGAGCAACAGTGCACTTCATCTATAGCAAGCCTGGCAAAATGCTTCCTCTGGTATGCTTTTTCCAGCATGGACATGAAGCGCTTACTTTTGGCCATCTTTTCTGGTGTGACGTACAGGAGTTTCAAGCTCTCCTCCCCATCAGCCATAGCCTTCAAGATCTGATTAGTCTCTTTCACAGAAACGTTCGCCGCCAACATAGCAACTGGGTACGACATGGCTTGCAGTGCCATCACCTGATCCTCCATAAGTGAAAGTAGTGGCGACACGACGATGGTGACGCCTTTCGAAATGAGGGCTGGCAGTTGGTAGCAAAGGCTCTTTCCACCTCCGGTCGGCATTATGAGAATGCAGTCTTTATTAGAAAGGGTAACGTTTACGGCTGGAAGTTGCATGGACCGGAAACTCGTCATGTGAAACACATTTTCTAGCGTTTCATTCACTCGATTTGACCACGGGAAATCGGACTTGCTCCAGTCAGTGCGTGCAATCTCGTCCAGAGATTTCTGTTTCAGCTTGACAGACAGTTCATCCCTTTTCTTTATAAGGCCTTCCCGTACAGTCTTAAGACGAACTATCTCATTCTCGGTTGATATTAGCTCTTTTTCAACTTTTTCGAGCTCTTGCTCCCACGATGAAACAGCCATTTCAGCAGCGAGCGGGTAAAACCAAAAACTTGCGCACTATTCGTCAATGAAGGTCACTGCTCCGTAGAAGGTCCTACAATACTGCCGTGCTCGAAGGAGCATGCTGTCTCAACTTGCCTTTTACTTTTTTGAACTACAAGATGTTGACACCGGCGCCATCGGAATTTAACTTCAGCCATAGCTTCAGCGGTCATCTGACAGGGGCCGCCACCGATTTCCATTTCCGCCTTGCGTCACGGATGAATCAGCGTGCTACGATCATCGTGAAAAAGTGACGTAATGACCTTGCGCATGAGAAAATAGTCATCGTGTCGAACGAACTTAACTAATTATAAGTCTAAGCAACACACCATTTTATGTAGTAGAAGCATACTTACAGCAGTACTTTTGACCAATAAATTGTTGTTTGAACACATCTCAACCTTTCAAATTTTGCGCGCATTTTTCAATGGACCGTGCGTAAGTCCACCAATGCCCACGACAAGTGTACTAGTCACCAAGGCCAGTTTACATTTTGCATTTTACAGAAAAATCAACCAAGGCCAGTTTACATTTTGCCTTCAAGCTTCTCTTAAAGTTCGAATGTTCGAGGAAGTGCAACTCGTATCTCAACGCTGTTCTTGTCAAGACAGTGGGCTGGCACCGTTCTTACTAAACCGCTCGTTACGCGCACTTTCGATAACACTGTAACTTGCAGCAAGAGTCACTGTTTGCCAGCCGCTCAGAATGGCGATGATGAAAAATCCAGCTGATAATTTCCCTCTCATCCTCGCCAACTGCGGGCGGAGGAAGCAGTGACAGCTGGGTGCCGGTATAAAAAGCGAGCCGCCGGCGGATTCCGACGTCACGTGCATCGGAGGCGGGCGGAGTGATACATCGTGTGCGGATCGGCCGCTCTCGCAGACTCGCAGTGCCGGCTTTGTTGGATTTCGAGCGCATCTGGTGCCAGCGCTGCGGCTTCGTGTCGGATATCCCTGTAGTGCAACGAAAACAACGCTTCGGAAATGTCTTGGCAGGCGTACGTCGACAACCAGATTTGTTCACAGGTCAACTGCACAGTGGCTGCAATCGCTGGCCTCAACGATGGAGTCATTTGGGCGAAATTTGAAAAGGACTGTGTGGTGAGCAAGCGGCTCCAATGCCGGTGCCTCGACTAGGCCTAACACGCCGACATGTTCAATCACCTTTGTGGCCGGGTTTGAAAATGGGGCAGTATATCTACGCCGGTGACTGCGCTGTTATTTGCCGCATTTCTACTGCGCGTTCGTGTCCGATCTTGGGCTTGCATTATACCGGGCGTTGGCCGTCGTTATCGCGCTCGAGATGGGCTTTGAGCACCCGTACACGCCCAAAGGCGTTACCTTGTTTGTCAAATTTTGCGTGAACGTCACTAAATTTGGTGCTGCGATTTCTTTGCAGGTCGCGTCGATTTTTTTTCTTTCGTTCTGCTGCGAACATAAAATTTGCACCCTACTAGAAATTGTCTTCCTGTGTTTGCTTTTTTTTTCACATTTTGCCTTGACATTGGTGGCCGGTGCATGTGCTGGGTATTTTAACTTGTGGCCGCAACATTGAATGGATATGTGACGTTCGCCTGGCGCTAGCTTCCTTCGTATTTTCAATAGTGAAAGTTTTCACTTCGCTGAGCAGGCTGCGACTGCATTTGACGATCGTGTCGCGTTTTGAAGTACCAATTAGTGTGGTAGGCCTAGGTGCGACTGAGCCCAAGTTGTCGCGTTGTCGGCTTTTTAATGCATCCAGCCTGATCAGAGGGGAGGGGGGGGGTGTCATCGAGCTTAGTTTGGGCGGGGCGAAGTTTGGTTTTTGGCCGCCGGTAGAACCTGTTTTGAGGGGGGGAGGCTTCATCTGCTTGCTGGTATCGGCGCAGATCACGCAGCAGGAGCTGAAAACCATCGCCGACACGATGCGGACCAACCCTAGTGCTTTCAACGAGACCGGCATCCACCTTGGCGGCCAGAAGTACGTCTGCCTATGCGCCGAAAACAACTTGGTCCGGGGCCGAAAAGGCAGCTCGGCGTTCATCGCCGTCGCCACCAACACCTGTGAGTTCTTCTTAGACATATTTGTGACATTCAACCATTTCGAGCTGGCCGACTGAAATGCATGGGAGAGTTGTAGTTCAGCCTTAGTTTGTAGGCGACAAATCTATTGTTTGCGTGGCAGCTATGACCTCCGGACAGACCGCCTCTTCGAATCTCCTCGTTTTCATTACACTTGGGCGACGTGCAGTCGCTACGGAAGCAAATTGGAGCGAGTGGCTGGATCGGCAATATTGCGAGTGCCAACCATATTTCATTTCGGTGGAGGCCGGCAGAAAATGGCTAACTTTGCTGTTTGACCTTTCGAAAGCCCACGATGCTTGTACATTCCTTACGACTGCCTTAGCTACTCACTTTTTTTTTCGCTAGAATTGCGAGCAACCGTGGTTTATGGTAGTTGCTCCCGAAAAGCCGTTCTTCCGCCGGCCAGCCCTGCTTTGGAAAATGGAATGTTCTTACAATTCTCGCTGTCGACGTGCCCGGGAACGGTTTCACGTGTCGTAATTTTGCTGTTTCGGTCACTGGGGCTCGGCGGTTGAGGTGCAGCTCCGTCAAGTTTGCCAGGTTAGGGATTACTCTCGCGGCCACGGTGGGCATGTTTGGAACAGGGCAGAATGCAAAATCACCTTGTGTATGTTTGCTCGGGAAAAGACCCCCGTGACGGCAGAAGTCCGCGATTCTTCATTGCGATGTGCACAAATCGTACAATGTACTGCAATTATAATTTACATTTCTAGTCCTATTTTTCTAAGCTTAACGCAGCTACATTCTCTGAAATGACGTGCTGCTTTCTGTATTGCAGGTCTGCTGGTAGCTGCCACCGTTGACGGCTTCCCCCCTGGTGTGCTCAACACTGTGGTCGAGAAACTAGGAGACTATCTGAAGCAAAATAACTATTAGGTATGTTTCTTAATGCTTCTCCTAATGTGTCTCCTTTAGTCTGCCTTTTTTTTGTGACGGCTGTGTGTTGTTAGCCTTTCCTAATTCCAGAGGGTTGGAGGTTTTTTTTTCTTTGGTCCCCATTTTTTGTATTTCAAGTAAGGAGCAATAACTTTTTGCCAGAATACGCAAGCTTCCTCTGTAATTCTTCACAGCATGGGGCTGTCATTAGATGAGTTGTCGCCTTCAAATTCATTGCCTTCGCCACAGCCCCAATGCAGCTTGCCTTTCGTACTGTTCTTATGGTGGCAGTAAGTGTATTTTTATAAGTGGTGACTAACCTGGCGTTTTTTTTTTTTTTCCTGCAGTTTTACAAAGCAAAGGAAAGCGCTGTCTGCCACGAAGTCGCTCGTGCCGCCTTCTCCCCCTTGTCGATCCTGCTGTCGCCACCATCTCCGGTGCCACTTTCCTTCCTGCCTCCTTCCCCAATGATCGAACCATCCAAGATGCCAGCGTGAAGCTGTCTACTGAAGCACGCAGAAGCTCCACATGTCTGGCCACCTGAAACTTCAGTTTCGCACCACCCAAACCTTAAGATTCACTTCCTTCTCTCGCGAGCACTGTTAACCCAACACGTCCGTGAGTTTTGTGCAGTCCCGCTATTATTGTTTCCATGAAGAGGGAGGCGGTGTGCAACAGCGAAAGAGAGGACTCCATCACTTCTTGCCTGCATTCGTTGGCACATTTTTAATTGTGAATTGTAATCTCTTCTTTTTTTTTTCATGCGTTACAATTTTTTTTCACCTCCTCCTCTTCAATGTTTTTAGGTGGGTCGGGGAAACAATTGTGCGTTAAATGGTGAAAGCTGTTCAAGCGGCTGAACACCAGTGTTGCGCCAAATGCACCGGTTGGAATAAATTCCAGTGTTGGTGAACTTATACCGAACGTTTTTTTTTATGCACACATGTTGAGAGGTGGACAGGTGCTATTAAATTATTTTGTGCTGTTTCTCTTCGTCCTTGTTTGGTTTTTCTTTTTTTCATACTTTTTGCTAACATGTTCTCCTAAGCGCTAGGGATTGGTGCTGAGATGGATGGAAATTTGGCCAAAAAAATGAGGCATTTTCCTTCCGTATTGTGCCGACTGATGCGCCAGACATGCTTTGAAACCTAGTGCCATTTCAAAACACTTCCCTGTCGCATGAACACTATACAGTTTTCACCCCTTAAAACACATTCAGTGCCGTGTATACTGAGAGCCTAGTCAAGGAAGCTGTGTGGCGGGGTTTCATACATTTTTATTGGGGATGTATGGATGAGAACAGTTTCATGCATGGTGCGGAGTGATTGCCGGTCAGTTCATACAGGGGACGCCAGCTTCTGGCAAATGCCTCTGGGCAAGTTTTTTTTTTTTCTCCGTCTATTTAGAGGCCGGCTTTTTTCCAGGTTGTTGTTGCTGGCATTCAGTGGCATTCGTAGGCAATTTGTTCTCCTCGTTCATGGCTGTGAGCAATATGTGCTCTTTTGCCTTGTTGGTGTGGCATGTTTGTAAAGTCAAAGCTCCCTTTGCGAGCTGTAGTTTGGATGGAATCCATGGTGCTGGATAAAAGAGAAGCTAATGTCTGTCGCTGCTCAAGCTGAGGGCCACACTCAATGTCTTGCAGTGACTGCTGGTGGTGCAAGACTTTTTTTTTTTCTCTTGTCTGGCCCGAATCGCGCATCGGGAGTAACTGTGCCGAACAAATTTTTTTTATCCCTCTTTATTTTTTGGAAAAAAAAAGTTCTGGCACATTCTCAGTGGCCAGGGAAAGTCTTCTGGAGCCCAAGGAGAGTTAGCGTGGCTGTGACGATGGCATGAGGGCTTCGGAAGTTCTTTGATGACTTAACAATTTTGTTTTATATGCGGGAATAAAGGAATGATAGTGACATTGAACGGCTGGTCGTGGTGGTTATTGGCGTCCTCCCCACACTGTTTCTTGATTCATACCATTGGACTAATTCATTCTCGACATGTGGAATGTTCTTACAGTTGCAGGCACATTGAAGTTGGCATCCACACAGTGCACATGCTATTGAGGCTGGGTATTGGTGACCCTGACCTATAGCGACAAAGAGCGGTGCTCGAAAAAAGGGCAATTTGGCACCCATGAACAGCTGGGCATTGGGGATAGTTCAAAGCGACCTACTTGGCAGGCAGTGCTGTCGTGCAAAGGTCTTGGACAGCCACAGACACGCGTGCGATATGGGCATAGTGCATATGGCTGCAATCGACTCATTTGCATAGGGCATGATATATTTGGGGCGAACTTCTGCAGTGTGCACTAGCAATATTTTTGCTAGACTGCTTGCAGATAATCCGAGAAAAATGTAGACTTCTCGCATCAGAAAGTTTAATTTGCCACATTAGTTGCATTATTGTGTAAGAGACTGGTCATAAAATCCAAACATTGCCTGTGCCTTGCATATAACAAACACGTTGCAAAGCGATTTCTCAAGTCTTGTCACTTTCACACATGCCTGCAAAATAGTTGGAAGGCTGTGTTGTATGTGCGCTCTGCACTATTCCTCGTTGCGCTGTTAATTTATTATGACCTGACATACTAGTTTCCACCCTTGAAGCGTAAGGCACTTACTGGAGGAGTGTGTGGCACTTTTTTGAAATTCCGACCCAACCATGCAATTTTTGTGAGGAAGGTTTTCATCAAGTGCTGGCTACGCGCCTGGAAGACACGTGACATAGCATGAATTGTTAATGACGGGAGGGCACTGCGCAGTACATTCCGGAACGTGAGCGTACATGGGGTTCTTCAGAGGGCCGGGGCGAAGGTTCGTCGCGGCGCTGCCCTCCCGATTGAAGTCAATGTATGGGACAGATTTCGCACCCCTCCACCCTCTCATGTGAAGGGGAGCTCGGCGTTGTCCCAGATCATAATTTTATAGTATGCCATTACGTGGAGTGGCTGAGAATGTATGCTTCGCAAACTAGGTTGATTTTATGAAGGTCCTGCGTGCCACCAGTCTAATTTGATAGGTGCCGGCAAATTCGCGCTTTGAAGGAGCTGAGCGTAAGTTGGCCTGTGTGGGTGAACGTAGATGGTATTAACAAAAGAATGATTTAATAAACAGTACGGGTGACATGTGCCGCTGCAGTACTGGGGAAACGTCTGAGCTTAAAGTCGTGGTAGACATGCATGCACGGAAGGTAGTCTACAGACTCCAAAAAAAAAAAAGTGTGCTCTCCATGTTATCCTCTGGCCCTTTCTCGAAAAGACACGCAAGAACAAAACGATATTCATTTTATTAAGTAAACTAAGCACCAATGCTGTCGCGAGAAGAAAGTAAACGCAGGTGGCGATGCCAGCGTCAATTCAGCGCTCCAATTTGTTGCATTGTCACAGATTTTGACCGAGTCTACCGGGAGCTGCTGATCGGTAAAAATGGGATGCGCTGCCCGGTGAAGGGGTCACAAAATTAACGAACCAAGTTTCAGAAAATTTTGTAGGGCCTATGTGGCCAAGAAACAAACCAAAAAAAGGACGTCAAAATCTGCGACGGCACGCTTTCGGCTCGAAATTAGAAAAAAAAAAAGACCGCACTTCCCCCGAATGGGAACACTGGTTAGCATGCGGAGCATATATGTTGAACTGCGATAAATTTTTTGCGGCATGCGTGTGTGTTATGAGTGAACACGCACGCATGTATGCTGCGAAAGATGGTGCTTATTGATGAGACGCTTTGGGTATTTTGAGCAAGATGGCTTTTATGGTCCGTAAAATGAAGGGTGAGTGGGTCTGGTTGCAGTGGTCGAAGGTCGAAATTTGCTAAGATGTGGTCGATGCACGTCCCGTGAGCCGTGGTCGAATGATGTTTGCCGTTGTGCGTTGCTCGTTTCAGCGAGTGCCGCGACTCCATGTAGTCGACCACCCAATCGTCCTTGACGACGTTGAAGTCGCCAACTATCACGATGGGTCGTCGTTGCGGTCGTTGTTTCAGGTATTCTTCCACGGCGGCACGCGATAGGTTGGGCGCGAGGTACATCGTCATGACGTCGACCTCGCAGACGCTAGCGACGCAGGGCTCGCCGTTTGCGCGTTGTTGAGCGCGCGGAGGGGAGAAGCGAGAACAGCGCGCGCTGTGTTGAGAGGAGAAAGAGATGTACAGATGGCTGGCGGAGGAGGAGAGGAGGCTGCGGACGGCGACGGCGCATGACTAACCCCTAGTATAACATGCTCCGCATGTAAAAAAAAACAAATGGCCTTTATTTACTCTGTGAAAGAGCCATGACGCTCAAACTAGCCATGAAATAAAAAAGGCATGTTTAGAGGCAGTGAAGAAAACCTAACAGAGGGATAGGACAAGCACTAGTCGATTTTCTCAGGAAAACCAACTAAATTTGGCTACGTCGTTCTCATGACGTCATGTCAGACAGGCAAATTTCACTGTTACCAGAGAGAGAGGAAACTTTATTAGAACTTGGCCGGCAGCTTGGTCTTCGTGGCCTCAGATGGCGGCGCTGAGTCCCTGAACTCGGGCGGCATCTTCGGCCTGCCGGACAGCCCAGAGCTGGTCGTTGAGCTCCGAGCTTCTGAGCGCCGCCTCCCAGCGGCGGCGTCGCCGACGGAGAAGGTCCCCCGCGGCTCCCGCAGACGGGACGGCGGCGGGAACGAGTGAGCTCGAGGCTTCCTGTTGCCTGGTATTGGCAGCCGCCATAGGCGCATCGCGAACGCCAAGGAAAAGTTTTTCGCTTGCTAACTGTGTGTCGTCCCTAAACCTGCTTAATAGTCAACTTGTTCGACATGGCGTAACCAGTGTGGCTTCGTAGGATGCCCCAGTAGGCGGCTACTTGATGCCAAGGTTGTAATAATGTAATCCGCAGAGCATCATTTTTATTTGAGTCTGGCCGCCATTCCTGATTTTAATAAAACTTTAAGTACAAAACCGCATCCACTTGATATGTGGGGATTAACGTCCCCAAACCAGCATATCATTATGAGAGACGCTGTAGTGGAGGGCTGCATCGAAAATACAGCGGCCGGTTTGCCGCGAGGTTGCATGAAAATAGATGCGCTGTCACATAACAACTGTTCATTCTGCCGACGGCAGACCCGCCTTTTTCAAGATGCCTTGAATATACAAATCGGCTGAAAGGAATTTCCTGAAACTTGTCAAGTCTCTTGCCCCCTCAGAGCACAGTGCATTTAATCTTTAGCAGCGCCGTTGGTCCCAGTAGACGTCGTTGGAATATACGACGTCATGGCGATTGCTGCGGGAACTTCTAGGTGGCGTCGCCCCCTTCATTTCCTTTCTTCAACTCTTCTCGCTAGTCTAGCGAGGAATTTTTCCGGGTGTGCGAGGGCATCTCTTGAAGGCCCTGAAAAGCACGTATTTTGCTAATATATTCTCGGTGCAAAACATCTCCCTTCGTCCGCATTTCTGGGGCCTGGGGGACGGAGCGAAATTTTATATATTCCGTAAGCTGCCTCAAGTCGAGCGTGCAGTAACGAAGCGCTTTTGAATGCTGTGCTTTTAAGAAACGCTTCAAGCCTACCTTACACGGTTCGTAGAGAGAGACCGGGGTGCCATAACTAGATTTGATTCTGTGCTTGAGTGACGGTACTCACCTGGTAGGTACTCACCTCAACTGGTAGGTGTTCTGTGTGTCGGCTTGATTTGATCTTGCGAGGAGGGGGGGGGGGGGTGCAGACGCGTGTTGCATCGCAGCTGGGGTAGTGGGGAGCGCTAGTGTAGCTTGGTTTGCTGGAGGGGAGGGGTGTAAGTGTTCCTGTTGCGTCTCCCTGTCGACACTTACGCTTCCGTGTAATATGCGTGCGTCACAATTAGCAGAAAACCGTGCTTGCCTCAGCTCATTGGTTGAACATCGCGTGAGGACTGTTCTAGCCAACTACATGGGCGAGGACCACGTTAAAGAACCCCAGGTGGTCGAAATTTCCGGAGCCCTCCACTACGGCGTCTCTCATAATCATATGGTGGTTTTGGGACGTTAAACCCCACATATCGATCGATACATGGGCGAGGACAAAAATGCATACGACACACCTTGGATTATAGCAACTGAACGTTTACAATTTTTTTTTATTTATAGCAGTTAGCAAATTCGTTGCTTACCAGATTGTTTATTTCTGCGCGTGAATCTTTTTTTTTTCTGTTGTATGGATGGTGCCCTGATTCATGATTCTCCGATGTCATCGATGATCATGGTTCCTAATATTTCGCCCCTCAGCTTGTCTTTAATTCTTGCTAAGATGTTGAGATCTACAATCGTGAGGAGGAGGAAAAAAGCTTTGCTTAAGCTGGCAGTGCTGGATAGCCCATATTCCCACCGGGCTGGTCGACATCCCTGTAGTACGGGACATCATTAGTCGAAGCCACCACCCGAGCCCTCTGGACCAGAGTTCGCTGTTTCTCTATAGTGAGGAGCTATTGGACAGGGTTGCCTCCCAGTACTCTTGTGTGGGGTTGGGGACGGGGGTTAACTTTGGGTTAATTTGGCAGGCCCAGACAATATGGTAATTGTGGGCCACTTCACCACAGTACTGGCACTGCCCTCTTATTTTTGGGTCGTAATATTTTAGTATGGCTGGACAGAGCAGCTTAACTATAAATGAATAACATGCTATTAACAAAGCTGCTTGTTGCAAAGCAGGACGTTCAAATCACCCCTCCCACCTCATGTAGACTCCCCCTCCTGTAGAATCACCCCTCCTGTAGACTCGTATTTACACGTGCTTCATCTGACACACACGCGTGCCGTCAGTGTGCATGTCACGAAAACTAGGAGACTGCCCCACCATGGTGGTCTAGTGGCTAAGGCACTCGGCTGCTGACCCGCTGGTCGCGGGATCAAATCCCGGCTGTGGCGGCTGGATTTCCGATGTAGGCGGGAATGTTTGTAGGCCTGTGTACTCAGATTTG